TGTTCAAAGTGCCCATGCCTTATTCAAAATGTAGTCTTCCATTAATCTCCTTCTTTAATGTAGATCAAATATATATTGTCCTTATAGATCTATTTTTTTATAGATCTTAGTTTGATTTATTTGATCAAGAAGTCCAAATATCATAAATATAGGATACTTATTCTTGATGATAAACTTGTTGAGTCCTTAATAATCCATGCACATTCCTAGTGATCCATCATTTTTCTTCACAAATAAAATAGGAGTTCATATAGGAGATTTTGAATGGCATATGAAATTTTTTGTCAAATTCTCATCAATATACTTCTTAAGTTTAGCCAACTCATTTTGTGATAAATTGTATATTGGATCAAATGGTGGTTGACTTCTCTCTTTAAGGTCAATTGAACAATCATATGGACTGAATATCTATATTCTTTTTTTCAAAAATACCTTTAAAATCTTGATATTGACTTAAAATATCACTTGAAGTCTTTTATCATTAAAAATGGATGTCGCATAAATAACAAAAAGTGATTCTTCTTTTATAGCATGCAAGAAAGCTTTTGTGCCTACTAGGACGAGTTTGGCTATATTAAACTCATAGCTTTTCACAAAACTCTTAATAATACTCTAAAGAAAGTGAAGTTTATAAAAAAATCTAATCTATTAGAAGGTTATATTTTTCTAGCCACAATGAACCTAAAATGACCAAATTAAAAAGAAAACTAATTATATTAAAAAATAGGCAACTATTATTATTATTTATTGCTATATTTATAAGAAGTGTTTCATAAGTAATATTTACAGAAGATAACGGATGGCCATCTATGACTTTTACATGTACGGATTTAGTTTTTTGTACTAATAGTATTTTATGGCTTTAACAAACTCTTCATTTAAGAAACAAGCTGAGGCTCTTGAATCTATCAAGGCAGAGGCTTTCTAATTATTAGGTCTTAAATGCACATCTATTAGAAAATAAGAAGAGGATTTTGAGGAAAAGATAGGATTTTCAATTGTACAAGATTTCAACTGCATGATCCCTATTGTAGTTGGAAAATTTTGTTTTTTTGACATTTTTTCATCTTTGATAGTCATACTCATCATTTTGTAGTTGTATCATTTCTTTAGATAATATTGAGCAGTGTGCTTAGCTTTTCTACAATTTAAACACAATCCTTTTTAATGATGACAAGTCTTTTTTTGTTCAATAAGAGGTTTAAAACATACTGCATAAATTTACATATCTTTTATTTCCAAATATTTAGATTGAAAGGACATTGGTGTTGTCATTGAATTGTAATAATGTGGATGTTCTCTTGAGCGATTCTTAGATTGAAATTTAAAAATTTGATTGTCATACTTCACAGCAAAGTCAATTTTTTGACTCAATGTTTAAGAATTACATAAATTGAGGATCAATTTCTTTGCCTCATGTTATGATCTATAGAAAAATTGGCTAATAAGGGCAACATCATCTCACTTGACATTAGTTTCTAATTGTCAAAATTATGAAGCATATGATGTCACTAATTGATTTTTTTATCAAAAAATATAAATCTTATTGGTTGCAATACAAATTGCATCATGTTTTCCATAAATAAATCAAAACTTTATCAAAAAAAAATTTAGTTTATTCAATATTGGATCTTGTTGTTTTAAAAAAGATGAAAATCATGATAATATTGAACTTGAAAGAAGTGTACCAATGAATCTAATTTGTGATATTGGCGTTAGATAGCTTTGAGGTTGAAGTTCAATCACAAGTTGTATTTGATTAATAAATCCTCAAAACTTCGATCTTGTGCCATCAAACTCTTTAGATAAGGCAGTTTTGAGTTCTCTAATACTAGAAGGATGTTCTATTATATATATATATATATATATATATATATATCATTTGATATAGATGTTGAAGGGACTTCAATCATGTCTGTATCTTCACTTCCTGTCAGGGACAAGAACTCGATGAAAGCTAAAGAGTAAGTGAGACTTTTCTCAAAAAGAAATAGGACAAAATAGAGATATGTATATTAAGAAAGAAACTGGAATGGCTATTGCCAAAATACAAGAAAACTAGAGACCCTTGAAACTAGACTAGAAGCAAGAAAGGAGTTGACAAGAGTGAAGAGGGCTTCACTCTTGCCTCTATATATACTATCTAACTAGAAGCCACGTGGCGATGTTCTATAAGACCTCCAATATATGTTGACTTTCTAGGCCACATGCCTTTGCTTGCAAGGCAAGTTTTCTATGGATGGACCACATAGTTAGCTTGTTCTTTAAGCTTCCAACATGCGTGGCACATGGCTAACTTGTTGACCAAGTTTCTAACCTAAAAGTCAACTATAGACTCCTATAAAGTCAAAGCAGCGTCTATGAAGCTTCTAAGAAGCTTCTCTAGAAGATATTACACAATTAACCTACTTTTACATACTTTTATCTATTCATATAGGTAATTATATGTATGTCCGTGACACTTCCTGCCATTTTTGTTGCTCCTAGTAGTGATAAACTGAGTTGATACATTGCAAGCATCAACTTCCACAATTCTTCTTGTATTTGTGTCATTACATTCTTCATTCTAAGAAGCTCTACCATAATAATATTCAGAAAAAAAATGTCTAATATTACTTAAGACAAGCAAAAGAGAGAACTTGAGAATAAACAAAATACTAAGAACAATATTAGTTTAGAAGAGGGTAATCTGCAACTTTTAATATGCTTATGTCTTATCAAAAGAAATAAGTAATTCACTCTTAATTAAGAGAAGACTAAGCTCTAATATTGTAAATACACTCTTATTAAGTTATCAAGAATATGAACAAAAAGAAAATGCATAAACTTCTGAAATTCATATCAAGTCACAATAGAAATTATATATATATATATATTTTTTTTTTATTTATTTATTTATTTATTTATTTATTTATATTAAAAAAATTTAGAATGACTATTTTCAAAAGACAAGGACACTAGAGATTCTTGAATCTAGACTAGAAGCAAAAAAGGATTAACAAGAATGAAGAAGGCTTTATTCTTGCCTCTATATATACTATCTACCTAGGATCTATGAAGTGATGTTCTATAGGATCTCCAAAAACGTATTAACTTTGTATGACATGTATCTTGACTTACAAGGCAAATTTTCTATATGAGCACCATATAGTTAGTTTGTTCCACAAGCTACCAACACATATGGCACGTGGTTAGCTTGTTGATCAAGTCTCTAATCTTTTGATCAACTATGAACATATATAAAGTAAAAACGTCTAAAAAGCTTTTAAGAAGTTTTTCTACAAGATATCATGAAATAAATCTACTTTTATCTACTTCTACCTATTCATATTATTTAAATAACAATTACAGTAGATATATATCTATGACAACAATACCAAGATCTAATAGACTCAAAGTTTTATAATGAAAACAAGAAATTGTTCAAAACAAGTGTATATAAGTAATACTACTTAACATGTACAAAGAATCATATTTAAAGTATTGTGCATATTCTTTATACATATTCTTTATTGAAGTTATCAAATCTAAATGCAAAAATTGCTAATATATGATTGTAAAAAAGATCATAATATAAAACTACACAAGTGATGATGCAATATTGACTCAGATATGGAGTTTTTCTTCAAAGTAATTAGATTTTTATTAAAAGCGTGGATGCTAAACTTAGAGATTCATATAAGAATTTGATTTGATTTTAAAATAATTTGTATGTAGTATTTATTATTATATATAACAAATATTTATTTTATTAGTGGTATTAATGTCTATATTATTAAGATTATAATATTTGTTTTAATTATAAAAATAGTTAGCCATATGAAGTTTGTAAAAAAAAATTAACATTTTTAAAAAAACTAGAAAAAAATGTACATATATAATATTTTATACCAAAATACAATTTCAAACAAAAACTTAATGTAATGAGTTTTCTTAATATTTTTTATTAACATATAATGATATGTTTTTACGATCTCTTCAATAGAGTGTGTATAAATTAAATATTTATTAAAAAATGAGATAAAAAAAATATAAGAATCTAAACTTTATTATTCAATCAAAAAAATAATCATCAATTTATCCTTAATAGCAATATGACTATGCTTAAGAAAAAATTATTGAGTGAATATTATTAGTTGTAAAAAATCTTAATAGACACGAAATTATCATGGACATGAAAAGATGTTGAGTATAAAAACAAAAGAAATATTCTTTGAAACAACATTGCCTCTTAAAAATTGGGATTAAGAGGCGGCCCCAAAACAAACTTCACCACCCATGAAAAAATGGATCGGTGTGGGCCCAATGAGAAGGTAAAATATGGACCATTGCGGGCCCAATGAGAGGGTAAACTATAGATCGTTGCGGGCCCAATGAAGAATGGGTAATGGGTTCCCAACCAGCCCACCCTCCAGAATCCCTTACGTTCCACCCATCGGATCCAAAAAATCCAATCGGCGGTTCAGATTAATACTGGCCGAGAGCAGCAATTTAACGGCCCAAGATTGCGGAGCCATTCGATTGAGTTGAGATTTCTCCGACACAATTCAACGAGTCCAGAGAAAGAAAGGGGCGAGCGCGGGTGGGGATGCGCGGGGATAAGCGAGGAGGAGTCAGCAGAGGGAGAGCAGGGTGGGTGGGGGTCCGTCCACCCGATCTGAAAGAGCTGAGGTGAGCTGGAATGGGGTGCGGAGTTGGAGGAGTGACTGAGTGCAGCACCAGGTGCTAAACCCTAGCCCAGGGGCATTAGCACCGTCGGATGTGCATCTGCGATCTGGTCCTGGCTGCGCGCGAAATTGGGCTCCCAGAACCCCAGGAGGGGAGGCGCGTGGGCCGTCGGATGGAAGGAAGTGGGCGATCGGCGCCGTTCCGGTGGGGAGAGTGCGGCGGGGGCTTTTGGGAATTTGGGAGCAGCAGCAGCGCAGCCAGGGTTGGGAACGGAGGGGCCCTCCACCCAGCACACAAGCAGCCCTGAGGTGTGAGATCTCGGCTTCCTCTTCTCCTTCTCCCTTCAAGTTCTGCTCCATTGTGCCAGGCTGCGGATTTCATTCGTGCGCGGCTGTCGAGTCCGTCTTGCCTTTAGGTCCTTCTTTTTCTTGTTGTTGGGATCCTTTGCGCCGCCCCTGTCGTTTTTCGGAGGCGCCGACCTCGTTTCTTGTGGTACCGCAGAGAGGCGCAGCAGCAGCCATGGCGGAAGAGGGAGCGAGCGTGAATGTTGGCGCGAAGGAGACGGGTAAGGTGAAATGGTTCAACAGCAGCAAGGGGTTCGGGTTCATCACGCCCGACAAGGGTGGGGACGATTTGTTCGTGCACCAGACGAGCATCCACGCCGAGGGGTTCCGTTCGCTTCGTGAGGGCGAGGTGGTGGAGTTCCAGGTGGAGTCGAGCGAGGACGGGAGGACGAAGGCGTTGGCCGTGACGGGTCCCGGGGGTGCGTTCGTTCAGGGCGCGAGCTACAGGCGCGACGGGTACGGTGGTGGAGGCCGCGGCGGAGGTGAGGGAGGAGGTCGAGGGTTCGGCGGGGGTGCTGCGAGAGGCAGGGGCCGCGGTGGGCGAGGCTCGGGAGGGTTTGGCGGTGAGCGCGGCGGCGTGGGTGGGGGCGACCGGTCTTGCTACAACTGCGGCGAGGGAGGTCACATGGCGCGCGACTGCCAGAACGAGTCGACGGGGAATGCGAGGCAGGGGGGCGGCGGCGGCGGTGGCGTAAGGGGGAGCCGGAGCTGCTACACCTGTGGAGAGGCTGGGCATTTTGCGAGGGACTGCACTCCTGCAGCCGCTGCCTAGGCGTTTCCGAGTAGAAGCAATTTTTTAACATCCTCCTGTGTCTAGATGGGAAGGCCGAGCCGGGGCTGAGTGGGTTGGCCGAGGCAGCGCCTCGCGGAGCACACTGTGGCCGCCAGACCGTGGAGCGTTTCGGCGGTGACGCGGTCTGCTTGGTTTGTACCAGGCAGGAGGGTAGTGCTTTGCTTGACTTTGTTTTTTAAACCGCTTCCGGTGTTGGTCGTCGTGGATGTGGCTAGGGTTTCGTCTGCACTGAGGCCTGCATGGCTGCGGGTATGACGTAGTATGCAGAAGATAGGTTTGTGTGTGACGGCGAATTTCTCTGCCATTAGCGGGGCCGGAGAGAAGTCTCCTCGGAAGGGTAGCGGTCGGCAGGGTCCGAGAGCTCCTCCGCGATGGATGGTTTGCGAGGTCCACCTTTGGAGTCAGTTGAAGGAGAGGGGGTGGAATCGGCAGGCACCGGTCGGAGGGGTGCGCGCCGAGAAGGGTTTATGTTGTGTCAGCGGGTCGAAGAATAGGCCGAAGCCTTACGTTTGTCAAGTCAATCTTAAGCTTTGTTCGCTGTTTGAAAGACCCGCGAAATGTAATTGAAGATCACAAGGAAGGCAATTATACGGGTAGATGATTTTTTTCTCTCCAGTGGAGTACCTGCATTGAGCGTGTGAATGTTGCTATTGTCGATGTATGGTGCATGGGTGCGGTGGGTTTGTTGAGACCGTTACATTGGACTGGAATTGCAGTGGATTGTTGGCTTCAATCGTGGTTTGGCTTAATGTTGACCTGCCGACAGGAGAGGTGTGGTGTGAGTTGCTGTTGTTGGCAGCGTGCGATGTGGTTTAGGGTTTAAGTGGTTGTTCTCGCACACACTCATGATGTGTAACGTATCCATTTCGGGGGGTTCGGGGCGGAAGGGGGGGGGGGTTGTTGTTGGCGTGGGGCTCCAAGGGAGCTTCGAGTTCTTCCATGTAGCTTACAGCATGACGCTTGACATCGCGGTGAATGAAGCACGGCTGAATGAACACAACCGCTGTGTGAGCATTGGGATGAAGAGGTGGAGGCAACTGCCGCGGTTCTGTTTGCAGTCGTGCAGGAGTGGATGAGGAAGATTGAGTGGTGTGCTGGTTCTTGTGATGCGAATGGTATGTTACTAGCGTGGCACGGTTGGACACAACCGCTGCATACAGGTCTCGACTCAGAAGTCGTTGCGTGAGTGTTGCGAGGGTTGGAATGCTGTTGTGGGCTGAGGGAGGAGTGGTTGTAGGGGGAGGTGGGAAGAGTGATAAACGTTTGTATCGGAGTGGATCCGAGTCAATGTTGAATCAATAGTTAATGTTCACTTTATTGCGTACAGATGAAATTGCGTTGGGTTGGAAAAAGGGTTTGTTATTGATCAAAATTAGTATACCTTTCATTTGGTGTTGATTGAGGATTCCTTAAAATGGTGACCAATGAACCTTGTTGTTTTCTTAGTCAAATGAAAAAAATTTAAAACTCGACAAGAAAACGCTTCAAAGAACCTGTCAATAACTTAGAATAGTCTTTCTTTTATGGAGTATTTGAAATATTTATGAGGTATACTAACAAATAACAAACCAGATGTGCCTTCCACATAATGGCACTTGATTTTTGGTTGTAACAATAATTCAAGTATTTAACACATTTGATATATAGCAAACTTGGAATGCAAGTAGTTAACATTACGGCAAGCTTGGAATTTGGACATCTCTTTCTTTGTAATGTCTTGGTCTTGATGCAAAACCTTGGTTGTGAAGAATTCAACTGAAATTATTTTATGAGATAGACTAGAACATCACATCGATTAGTACAAAAAGTGAAAGCAAGAGAACAGTTTCAAAGTCAAGTTTGTATCAAATAATTTTGATAGGATACATAATTTAAATAAGATAACTTATAGACCAAAGAAAGAAATAGTCTCATTAATTTGGGATTGATATACTCATTCACTACCATTGTTTATTTATAGCAGCTAGCCATCTATGTTAAGGTGGCTACATTTTTCTTTGGCATTAAATTTTTCAAACTTACATGAGCAATTCTAAAGTTGTATAGGTAATTCCTCCACCTCTTCATCCCAATGCTCACACAGCGGTTGTGTTCATTCAGCCGTGCTTCATTCACCGCGATGTCAAGCGTCATGCTGTAAGCTACATGGAAGAACTCGAAGCTCCCTTGGAGCCCCACGCCAACAACAACCCCCCCCCCCCTTCCGCCCCGAACCCCCCGAAATGGATACGTTACACATCATGAGTGTGTGCGAGAACAACCACTTAAACCCTAAACCACATCGCACGCTGCCAACAACAGCAACTCACACCACACCTCTCCTGTCGGCAGGTCAACATTAAGCCAAACCACGATTGAAGCCAACAATCCACTGCAATTCCAGTCCAATGTAACGGTCTCAACAAACCCACCGCACCCATGCACCATACATCGACAATAGCAACATTCACACGCTCAATGCAGGTACTCCACTGGAGAGAAAAAAATCATCTACCCGTATAATTGCCTTCCTTGTGATCTTCAATTACATTTCGCGGGTCTTTCAAACAGCGAACAAAGCTTAAGATTGACTTGACAAACGTAAGGCTTCGGCCTATTCTTCGACCCGCTGACACAACATAAACCCTTCTCGGCGCGCACCCCTCCGACCGGTGCCTGCCGATTCCACCCCCTCTCCTTCAACTGACTCCAAAGGTGGACCTCGCAAACCATCCATCGCGGAGGAGCTCTCGGACCCTGCCGACCGCTACCCTTCCGAGGAGACTTCTCTCCGGCCCCGCTAATGGCAGAGAAATTCGCCGTCACACACAAACCTATCTTCTGCATACTACGTCATACCCGCAGCCATGCAGGCCTCAGTGCAGACGAAACCCTAGCCACATCCACGACGACCAACACCGGAAGCGGTTTAAAAAACAAAGTCAAGCAAAGCACTACCCTCCTGCCTGGTACAAACCAAGCAGACCGCGTCACCGCCGAAACGCTCCACGGTCTGGCGGCCACAGTGTGCTCCGCGAGGCGCTGCCTCGGCCAACCCACTCAGCCCCGGCTCGGCCTTCCCATCTAGACACAGGAGGATGTTAAAAAATTGCTTCTACTCGGAAACGCCTAGGCAGCGGCTGCAGGAGTGCAGTCCCTCGCAAAATGCCCAGCCTCTCCACAGGTGTAGCAGCTCCGGCTCCCCCCTACGCCACCGCCGCCGCCGCCCCCCTGCCTCGCATTCCCCGTCGACTCGTTCTGGCAGTCGCGCGCCATGTGACCTCCCTCGCCGCAGTTGTAGCAAGACCGGTCGCCCCCACCCACGCCGCCGCGCTCACCGCCAAACCCTCCCGAGCCTCGCCCACCGCGGCCCCTGCCTCTCGCAGCACCCCCGCCGAACCCTCGACCTCCTCCCTCACCTCCGCCGCGGCCTCCACCACCGTACCCGTCGCGCCTGTAGCTCGCGCCCTGAACGAACGCACCCCCGGGACCCGTCACGGCCAACGCCTTCGTCCTCCCGTCCTCGCTCGACTCCACCTGGAACTCCACCACCTCGCCCTCACGAAGCGAACGGAACCCCTCGGCGTGGATGCTCGTCTGGTGCACGAACAAATCGTCCCCACCCTTGTCGGGCGTGATGAACCCGAACCCCTTGCTGCTGTTGAACCATTTCACCTTACCCGTCTCCTTCGCGCCAACATTCACGCTCGCTCCCTCTTCCGCCATGGCTGCTGCTGCGCCTCTCTGCGGTACCACAAGAAACGAGGTCGGCGCCTCCGAAAAACGACAGGGGCGGCGCAAAGGATCCCAACAACAAGAAAAAGAAGGACCTAAAGGCAAGACGGACTCGACAGCCGCGCAGGAATGAAATCCGCAGCCTGGCACAATGGAGCAGAACTTGAAGGGAGAAGGAGAAGAGGAAGCCGAGATCTCACACCTCAGGGCTGCTTGTGTGCTGGGTGGAGGGCCCCTCCGTTCCCAACCCTGGCTGCGCTGCTGCTGCTCCCAAATTCCCAAAAGCCCCCGCCGCACTCTCCCCACCGGAACGGCGCCGATCGCCCACTTCCTTCCATCCGACGGCCCACGCGCCTCCCCTCCTGGGGTTCTGGGAGCCCAATTTCGCGCGCAGCCAGGACCAGATCGCAGATGCACATCCGACGGTGCTAATGCCCCTGGGCTAGGGTTTAGCACCTGGTGCTGCACTCAGTCACTCCTCCAACTCCGCACCCCATTCCAGCTCACCTCAGCTCTTTCAGATCGGGTGGAGTTACCCCCCACCCACCCCGCTCTCCCTCTGCTGACTCCTCGTCGCTTACCCCGAGCTCGCCCCTGTCATGGTCTCTCACTCCCCCTCTCTGTTTCTCTTTCTGCAGCGCGATCGCCGCATTGATTGATGTTTCCGGCTCCCGCCCGCGCCATCCCTATCCTCAAGCAGCAGCCGGCTCCGTTGCGAACTCGTTGGCCGTGCTCTGCATTGCAACAGAGAGCCGCTGGGGAGTGAGTATTTCGTCATTATGTCTCGTATTGCCCCGTGTTCTAGTTTGCTCTGGTGCCGCTCCCGTCCGCCGTTCTGGAGATCCTGCCCCGTCCCCCGCATTACGATCCCTTCATCCGAACCCAGGTCACTGTAATTCCCCCGCCTTTCTAGCTCCCCTGCCCTTTCCCCCTCTGGCTGGCGTTATGGTCGTTGACGCCAGTCGATTCGGCTCTCCGTTCTCACGTTTTCGCTGCCTTTGGTGTGCGTGGCTCAAGATTGAACCTCTTAGTTGTGCAGGTTCTGTTGGCTGCCTTGATGGACTCCAGCATAATATTCAAGAACCAGAATCCTCACCCTAATATGCGGATTTGGAAACCTTCACAATCGGCAGACGCAACTGCGGTTAACGTTATTGGAATCACAAACTCAGATGTCGTACTGTCAGGCACTCCAGGGATTTAGTCTGTGTCCCATAGGCTTCACGTAACAACATACCTTCTATACTTCATCCTTTGTTGGATTAATCCTGATTTTATCGGGATTTACCGTTGGCTTTTCTTACCTTGCGGATCATATTTATTCCTTGTCCTGCTCTTTAATGGCTTATCTTTCGGTCATTAGGGTTGTGTAGGGTGGGCATCGCCATGTTGGTGGGAGTCCGGGGATGGACTTTTGTATTTTAGGGAATCTCGTTATGCTCAGGGAGATGTCCTACATTAATCTTGTAGGACGAGCGCCAAGGTTATTTGAATTATAGTGTACCGTATTCTTTGGAAGACTTGTTAGTGGCAACCTCTTTAGTTTAGTTCACCTCTTTTGTTTCAGAACATCATTATCGGCATTGTACCTTTTTGTTTACCTTTGATCTGGTGTTAATACATTTGAACTCTTGGCTGTATCCGGTTTTCATGATTTTGCGGCATTAGACAATTTGTCCCCTGTCTTCAAGTGTATATCTCTTTTAAACATAAGAGTTATTCAATATATTTTCAGTCCATCAAATGGTCTTTGGTTTGTTAATATCTAACATTGCATATGTTTGTTACAGTTGTTTTCGTTGGTATCTTAGAATGGTTGTATTACGTCCGTGTTACTTGTATATTTTATCTCTTTTGAGTTCCTCACCATTTTTGCATTTAGATTTCTCATATGAGTTCTGACCTCTTTGTAGTCTTGACACCAGAATTTGTTGAATATAGAATGCTTATTTGAGACGTGTTTTAATTTGAGTAGTCTTTTATCTTGTAGACATCTATTAGTTAATCATGCATTCTTTGAAAATAAATAAATGTTCTAACACTTTCATACAATTTTAATAATATTTGCTCTTAAGTTGAACAAGTTAATTTCAAGTTCTTGAGATGCATCTCATTGGGTAACATGCATTTTCTTAGAATCTTTGTAACTGTTATTCTTCTACGACCAAATATTACTCATCAATATCCTGTTAGATTTCTTAATGTCTTGTGATTGATTTCCCTGTTATCTGTTTTGCAACAATGTCTTGATGTAACGTGACCATTATATTACCAAGAGGACCTTATGGCATAGTCTTTTTAGTCCTCACTGCTAGCAATATCATGTATTGTTTTATATTCTTGGTTGACATGTTATGTGTAAAGTTTCATAGATTTCTTAATGTCTTGTGATTGATTTCCCTGTTATCTGTTTTGCAACAATGTCTTGATGTAACGTGACCATTATATTACCAAGAGGACCTTATGGCATAGTCTTTTTAGTCCTCACTGCTAGCAATATCATGTATTGTTTTATATTCTTGGTTGACATGTTATGTGTAAAGTTTCATGTACATTATTATTGTGATAATTTTATTTATCTTGTACACGGTTTTAAATTATCAAAATATAAAGTATGTAATGATTTGTTAACCAAAGAGGATGCAATAACACATATAGGTATTTAGCTCGCAAGAACAAATTAAGTTTAAAATTTATTTTACAAGAAATATTGATGGTGCTGTAAGATGTGTATTAGTAATGATTTTCTTAATACAACTAGATTTAAGACATTGTATGTATTTATGTATTTTGTTCATTTCTTAAACTTAAGTTGTATTAACTTATAATAATTACAAGTCATCTATATAATCAATTTTTCTATAAAAGATCTATATTGCAATTGTAAAATAAAAACAAATAATCTTGTAATGTTTTTATTTCTCACTTTTACATCTTCCAAGTTTATTGAGCTAAGCATAGCAAAAAAACTTATGTTGTTTTAAAACCTTGGTGTTGGTAGCTTAGCCACCTTTTTTTTAATCCTCTATCTTATTACATTGTGGATACATGTTAGAGATCTCAATTGTAGATGCCAATTTCTAGAGGCCAATTTGTAGCCATGATAAACTTCGTTTCTAACTTTTATACTATGTGTTGTCAAATTACAAAATTAAATCTCGTATAATTATAATATCTTTTCAAATTTCACTATATTATTATATATGTATCTGTTATATATACCAAAAATTTCTTAATAATATATATTTATTATTTAATATTTATTTTAGTGTATATCTTTTATTCCCTTTTGTTGTGCATCATATGTAAAAATCAAATGACTAAAAAAACTCTCAAATTTATGTAATCCTGTATTGAATCTATATGTATGTAAATAAATAAACATATATACATTATATTAAATATTATATAAACATATATATAATTTGATTTGACATTAATAATTGACATGTATTTATCTATTGGTAAAGAAGCATCACTTTCGGAATAAGATTATAAGGAAATATTTTTTATACAGTAATCATGAATGTTTTAAAACCACGACGTAGTTGCATAATCAAACTGCTTCAACACAAATAATCTGTTCACACTGTACTGTAGAAACACCCTCACAGAAGAAGTTATAATATAATTTCATTTTTTTGACTTCAAGTTATTTTCTGTTAGGAAAAAAGTAGTCTGTTGCTAATCATTTCCAAGCAAGATGGCCATGGAGGAGGGAGGAGTAATTTGGTTTGTTTGAGTCCCATGACCACGAAAGCCCTATTACCGTTTTCATTGTTACATTATGGGTGAATTACACGAAAGCCAATGGGGGTTTCCGCGATGAACGAGGGGTCCTGAAAAACAAGCTTACTTTATAGATCATGCGAAATGAATGAAGCTGGTAGAAAGCCAGTGGTGATAGGGTGGAGTGGCACGGGGACGGGGGGGGCACGGAGGAAGGGGGAGTGGGATAGGGAGAGAGAGAGAAAGAGAGAGAGCGGTCATAGGACCGAGTTAGTCCAACGTTCGAGGCTGGGAAGCCACAAGTTTCTTGCCTCGTGGAGGCCGAACGACAACGTCGTCGAAACGGGGTTGTGGATAGCGAACGAAGCCAGAGCTAAACGGAGGGAGGGACAGCAGAAGCGTTGTACGCATTCTGGAACTCTCTCCCCCTTCGCTTCGCTGAGCTTAGCTTCGAAGAGCTATGGCGAGCAACATGGCCGCGCTCTCCTCCTCGTATGCCTTCACCATGTCCTCCGCCGCATTGCTGACGAATTCCAAGTCCGTCACGCTCCGGCATGTTGCCCCTGTGACCGTCGTGATCTCAGCCGTGAATTTGTCGGAAAAGCGCGGCGTGTCCAGGCGACAGGTTGCTGTGTCGCTGGCCTCGCTGTCGTTGTTGCTGCTTTCCTCTTCCCAGCAGGCGGCCCATGCTAGGGACATTCCTATCTTTGGATTGAAAAAAGCTAAGAAGATTACTGATGAGGTATGGTCTGTCGAGTCTTGTGGAGTGGAGTTCGGGAATAGTGTATGTTCAATAGTGTTCTTGTGTGAGTGCTTTGACTGTTTCTTTAGTTTTTGAGATTTCGCCACCGTTGAATTGGAAATTCTGTCAGGCTTTGTGATTATGCTGTTGCATTTGGAGATTCTGTTAGTATTTGTGTTTATGCTGTTACATTGTGTGAGGAAGGTCTTATGAATGGCCTGACGGTTACCTCAATTTAGTAGAATTTGAGTTGTGAGGAACTATACATTGGATTTCCTGTTTATTCCCTCAAATAATCGTGAATGCGCGGGTGCTTGTGTTCGTGCCTGAGCACGTGCATATGAGTGTTACCTAGAGTGTCATCTTACGTCGCTTATGCCGAGGTTGGTTTTTGAGGTCATTGATTACTCATTTGCAGCGAATATGATTTCAAGGTTCATCCCGTAGCTTATTCGGTTTTTAACCACATAGTTCTACTTGCAAGGTTCAATCTAATGATCTTTCTGATTTTCTGATTTTAAGGACCTTACAGCATTTCCCCCGGGCAGATTTTGGAGTTGTTTCTGAATAGGCATGTCAGCTTTTCTGGAATCATAGTAACATTGATGAACATTAGGTGGTGTTCACGAATTTCGTGCACATGGCAATAAACTTGTGACTCTGTTTTAGGACCCTTCTATTGATGAAAACGTAAAACAGATGTGTTATTTAGAGTTATCACTATAATTCAAACAAATAATATGCAAGATGACAAAGTCTTGCGGTAATACCTTGCTTCCATGTCAAGTCTATTGCAAGGACTTACGCTTCCTGGTTCGCTATCCTAGAAATGTGTGTAGAATGATACGTTAGGCGATATCGTACGCACCTAAGAAATTATTGCCTTGCTTCCTGGTATCCTTGAAGCTGAATGTGGAACTTGGACGTTCCAGATCGAAAAACTCATTCAATACACCGTAGTATCTCTGAACATGAGTTTCGCTTTGGATTTCAGGTGGTTTCAGAAGTGAAGGAATTGGTTAAAGAAGGAGAGAGTGAGGCTGCAGCAGTGGGAGGAGCCATTTCAAATGCTGTAGCTGAGTTTCCTGGCGCAGCTTCGCGTAACATACCAAGTGTGTCTACCCCAGATGGCGGATTGTCTCCTGCACTACAAGCTGGTGTAGTTGCCGGCGCAGGAGTAGTTGGTGTACTTGTTGCCTCTGCTGTGGTGAATACTCTTGTGAGTCCATCAAAGTAAAATATCGAGGTTTGTGTATATTGAGAACCCCAGCTTTCATCTTGCATACTTTTTACTTTACTGGAGTGCATTGAGTCTAAAGGGGTAGATGCTATTGGTCTTCTATTAATCTTCGGCGGATGCTGCGGAGTGGTGGTTGCTGCTGCTAGAGAAGAGACTCTGGACGTCCCGTAGATCTCAAGGAGTGTACACTTGCTAGCACCGTAGTAGGGTTTTGGCAATGAGGTCATGGGAAAAAGCTCATTCTTCTGAGTATCATTGCTAGGAATTTGTGCAACCGACATGTGTAGTTGAAAAAGGAACAAGTCTATGCATCGATTCTGAATCATTCCACGCACTTTCAAATGCACCTGTGATACGTCACAAGTTGCTAAATACCAGTTCTGATTGGGTAAGTATTCTGTTGGGGACAAGTGTTGCACTTTCCAAATGTTAGCAAATCAGGAAAAACATGAACTGCTCTGAACCTACAAACTTGGGGCCATACCTCAATATCATAGTTGTTAGACAGATACATGAGTTGTCATGCTGAATGAGTTCTCAGAGGCTGCCCTATCTTATTGTATGGGTTATCAGCAGCCCTAACAAAACGGTGACCCAACTTGAAATTAAAGCAAAGATGTCAGTGTCTTGGAATGACTGGTAGCTCTGTGGCGTGTTAATGCAATTCATTTCAATTAAATTTGTAGTGATCTCCACTTGGAAGGTATAGTATCCATTAGTATTCTAAAAATTCAAGTCGTTTATGAAATCACGCACTCTCGAAAAAATCTGTTTACAAATTTTAAGATGCCTGGTTGTACGGAGGGCAACTGTTCCAGATGGCACCAACTGGAACATTATCTGAAACACTTGCAGCCAGATAAAAGATTCTGTTTTGGAAATGTGCATAAATCGGAGTTTTCAAATCACCTGATTAACTTCGCTTTTCCCATACGTCAAAGAAAAAAAAATACATATTTCACAAGAGAATGAAAATTTGTTCACAAGTTTTCAACTCTGTATCAGAACTCCTTGATTTCATCAAATATCTCCATGATTATTGTCAGCTAAAACAAACCTCCACTAATTGGAAGTTTATTCTATTCACAATTGAAGTACTGTACCATAATCTCTACCATAAATTCACACTTACAGTAATAAATCACTCACAACATTCATGCCAAAAGAATTTCCTTCTTATAACTTTACTTTTATTTTCTTCTTATGTACTTTGTTTTTTATTTGTAATTATTGATTTTTTATTATTTAATGAAAGTTTATTCATTGACAAAAAATCATCCATGTATAAGTTATCATTTGCACATAACTTCTCATCTGCAAATAACTCCTCATCCATGCAAAAAACTTCCTCCTTAATTTAAAACTCCATCCAAACCAAAGTTCATCCAATTCTAACCTAACTTCATCCGAATTATAAATTGTCATCCAAGTTCTTCATCAATTACAATTCAATATCTTAACCACAAATTTATTCACCTAGATGAAGTCCAATCAACAAGTGAAATTTTCTTAGTAATCGATTCTAATCAAGATATGCACTCACAACATGAGGAGTAGATAAAAACTGCCCTCTGAACTCTAATCGGAAGCTACCTTCGAAGCTATTGGCACAGGTAAAACCGTTGCCTCTCCTGTTGGTTCGGTTTGCCCCAGCCGAGCTGGACTACTTTGCATGTTTACCCCGCTGATGGAAGAAAAAACAGATCACCACCTACATCTCTCTTGTCATGAGGTGGAAACAATAGAGCCTCGACTACCGGAGGTTGGATTCCTTGCCGCCGGATGGATAAAGGGGTCAAGGTATCCTATGAGAAAGTTGGCCTCTGGATGAGGCCTTAAAAACAGTGATGTATGCTTCAAATATCCTTCACGTCCAACCCCTCCAGCAACGAGTTCCACCAAACGAGTGTGTCGGGTCGAAAATTCCAAGAATCCATAAAACTGCTCCTAAAGGTACCGCCACAACGCCTGGAGCATCAAAACTTCGGAAACCCACCCGAATTTATCACTTCCAATATTGCCGGCAAGGATGCAAGAACAGACCTTAAAATAACCTTTTCTAAAATTTACACTTAATGTTCATGTCATTGCTCAGACGAGCCACATCATCTCATGACCAGGGGTGACAACCCTCCTTCACTCACATACGTTCCTCATTGCAACATATCCACCGCGAAGGTATAACCAACAGCACCTATTCCACAACAATCTACTTGCGGAGTACTGATCTCAACTGATGAACCTCATCAATTGTTTTTTTTTTAAAATTCAAATCAAATCGACTCCAGGCCGTGATTTCGTCGCTATTGTACTCCAATAGCTTCCTGCTTTAGCTCCCCTAGTTTACAAGCCAACTGGCAAGACAATGAGACGTACACCAAACATGAGTATTGCGAAGCAGATCAACACGAAATCTTCTATCACCACGTCTAAAGATGATTCGTCTTGTGCAGCTCACTTGATTGAGCTTAAATATTCACATCTTGCGCTGTGTCAACAAGAACTGAAGCCAACACGCAAGGGCTCCACATCGCCTTCCACACTGGACGCTGTAGTTACACAAAGAACCAGAGAATCCACCTCCTAGTCGTTGTGGACAAAATTGCGCCAACAGTAGTTCCGCTCATAGCAACCCACGCTGCAGCTTCGCCTATGCCGCACCTCCGTACTGTAGGAGTAACTAGAAGAAAAAAAACGAGGTGCCCTAGATCTAATAGCTGTAGTCACACTAAAACCACAAGCAGGTCGCCACTGCAATGCTGGCATTCTTGAATCACACAAAGCCCCCCCTAAAAACGCGACCGCATTGCGGTACCACTGTTGCTTCTGATTTCTTGCTCCACTCTAATCATATAACAAAAGAAGAGGATGCTGCACTGCAGCACCTCAACGGAACGAAAAGAAAATCTCACAGCCACACACACAAGCGATGGAACGCACCAAAATCTTCGGAGCTCTTCCACCGGCTCACAAAAACAAAAGAAAAAAAAAGACCAAAATCCGGGGCGGCCCGTTTCAACGATGAGCCCTCCGAGTTTAGGGGCGACTTCATCGTCTTTTCCCTTCCTTTATCTTTTCTTCTCTCCTTTCTTTTCCTCCTCTGTTTTTCTTCTTTTTTTCTTTTTTTTTTTTTTTTTTTTTCTCCTTTTGATTTTGCCTACCTCTATTTTTTTAATTTTATTTATTTATTTATTTATCCCTAGGACTACTGATGAATAATGATTTTTTTATTTTTTATTTGTTCTTTTGAATAGATTTGAATCAACAATTCTTCTTTAACTTTCTATTTTAATTAAAATAATCAACAATAAAAAATTGCTACTATTACACCTACTTCTAATATTGGAAATCCATCATAATAAAAAAAATTGATGAGGTTCATCTTAAAAATCCATCATAATAAATTCTACCTTAAATTGTATTTCTATGACTAATAGTCTATTTTTGCTATTTATTTCAAAATTCCTATATTAGCTCACTAGACTAGTGACTTTAAGCACCATAAGTACATTTTTTATACTAAACACACAAGTAAGTCAATGCCATAACTCACAATTAGAAATATGGAATTAATCATGAAATAATATATATTATTATTTTTTATTTATTTTTGTTTGTTTTTTTAGCTTCTTAAATTTTCTTGTTAAAAATTAATCATGTGGATAACAAAAATAAAGATCCTTTGTAATTATTTAATTTTTTTTATTATAAAATTTAAAAATGAATAAAAAAATTACAAATGTTATCATTGTGTTTCTTAAGATTGACAACTTTAGTTTTTTAAAGTTGATTTAATGCTTCAAAATTGAACTTTTAATGTTCAATTAGTTATTTTTCTTTATTTTGTGTATTTTTATATTTTTATTCTTTAAGATTTATTATCACATTTATCTTGGTTTCTTTTGTTTGTTTATTTATTTATTTTATTCTTGACTATTTATAATAATCAATTAATATTTGCATATTATTATTGATTTAATTTGATTTGATTTGATTTTTAATTATAATTTCAAATATTTTTATTCAACTTATTGATGAATTTAAGTATTTTTAAGAAAAATTTATTTTTTGAATATTTTAGGATTTCTAAAGCTCCTTAATAATTCTTGAAATTCTAAAATGATAAAAAGATGATACTTTTAAATTTATATCTTTGTATCCCAAATTATCTACTTTATTACATATTTAGGATTAAGACTTAGTACTAATTCTAAAACTTAATCAAGTGCTAATCTTATTAAGGCTTGATACACATGCTTCTTATACCTCACATTTATGCAATTAGATAATTGAGAACTTGCACAAGACAATCATGAGGTGTAGTCGAGGAGTCACAGATATATACATTTACCTCAATAATTACTTATATGATTAGGTAGAAGTAGGTAAATATAGATTAATTTCATAAAGTCTTTTAGTGAAGCTTCATAGACACGATTTTGACTTTAGATGTGTTTGTAGGTTGGAAACTTGGCCAACAAGTTAATCACGTGTTTATAGCTTGTAGAACAAGTTAACTCCACATAGTAGCTTATAGAACAAGTTAACTATATGTCGCATACATAGATAACTTGCCTTGCAAGTTAAGACATGTAGCTAGAAAAGTCAACATATTTTGGAGGTTCTATAGGACATCACCACGTAGTTCCTAATTAAGAGTATATATGGAGGTAAGAGTGAAGCCTTCTTCACTCTTGTCAATGCTGTTCTAGTCTTTAGTCTTGTTTCAAGACTTTCTAGTCTTCTTGTTTTTGGCAATAGCCATTCTAGTTAATATTAAATTATCTTTAGAGTGACTTTCTAGTTTTCTTTAGTGACACAAGAGTGTATTGAGGATCTTCTTTCTTTAAGATTCATGTCCCTAACAGTTTGACAAGAGTGCTAACATATTATTTTCGTCTTATTTTAGAAGTGAGTGGATTATCCCACTTCTATTGTTGTATTTTAAAGGTTACAAACTACTTTTTTTTTTTTTTTTTTTTAAAAATCTTATTTTCTAAAATTGATCTTTTCTTAAAGAGAGTGAATTATCCCTCTTTATGGAAGTTTTTATTAGAGGTTGTGGATTACCCTCCTCTAATTTAACTTTTTTGGATTTGTTTAAGTTACCTATAGAAGAAAAGATTATGGATGCTACTCCTAGGGAAAGTGAGAATAGATTTGCAACTATTATAGATCTTCATGAGCTTGTCAATACTCTTAGAGTAAAAATCTCATGTATTTCTAACATGAATCATGGAGGTATTATGCCTACGCATATAAAAGAAGTTCAGAGTTTGCGGCAAAAAATTGTGCAATTGAAGAAAGTAAGTAGATCGACCTCACAACCAAATCTAGGAAATTTTGCTTCTATAAGTATGATGGAAGTAAAGATTAATATGCCTAAGAAGTTTGA